GAAGGCAATCGGAGTCTATGGAACCCGTTGACACGGCCAAAAATAAACTGCTCCAAGGTGGGAAATTGAATCGAGGTGCTTTGATGATGGGGGGGAATAATTCTGGAAGCTGCCTGTTTTTCGTTTGAATCTGGCGGTGAACATTTCGTGATGGGGTAAGATTCGAGAAGGAGCGCTCAGCCACCACAAATGGGAGATTTCGTGGAAGGAAACTGATGGAACAGGTGGTCTATGTACTCTGAGACATATTAGAAGAAACGTGGGTGTGGGGCGAAAAAGAGATCCGGGATTGCCTACTCCTCTGAGGGAAATTCTCCATCGCATTTGCCCATATCTGCCTTTACCGAGCCTCGCGCGGGCCATTCTTCTTGTTGGTATCACCGGGGTGTTCGCAACTATCTTTTTGATGATCACGGGTCGCAAGCCAGGGGAGGGAGGAGTGCCAACACTGGGGATCTGAAAGAGAATGATCACGAACTCGAAAAACAAGGGTAAGAGAGGGAAACAGTATGAATGGAAATTGTTCCAGAAAGAAATAAGAATATCGGAGGGAGGTCCGAAGGCTTCTATGAATTTTCTCGAGGTACATAATTTATACATACATGTACCTTGCGATCCTAAATACCTAAATGTAAAAGGGTTCAGGGTCCGGGGATCAGTGACCCGGGTTGTGACAGGTCGATGAGTGACAGATCGCTGGGTCATCAAGAAACGGCCTGAACCCGTCGCAGAACAGAAGCAGAAGCAGGCAGAAGCATCACCAGGTGCGGTTCGTGAAGCTAGACTGGATGCGTATCTCCATGCCCCCTCTCTTCCCTTCTGCCCGACGTTTTTGCACTGTTAACCGGGAGCTTACCTCCCTCATTATTCATTTTATTTTTATTTAACCACCAAGGTTCTGCGACCATCTTTGTGTGTGTCGATTGACTATCGTTTTGCGATATGTAGCTCCTCAAAGGTTTGAGCCAGAAATGCTTTCATGTTGAAGGGAAAGAAGATCCCTTTAAACTCCCTCCTCCGTCCAGTTGTTTTCGTTTGGTTTCCGAGCAGCGGCGGTTGCCGTAATGAGGTGCTTTTTCACCTGTTACCCGGCCTCAGACCATGTGACGTGACGCAATGACCCTCGGGAAATTCAAATCTAGAACATTTTCACGACTACGGCTAACTACAAGAAAAACGAGTGTCAAGGATTGAGAAAAATGAAAAGCGAGGTAAACTCGAGTGAAAACAAGCTCCTCTATGGCCATTTTGCGATGTCTTTAGACGGTGTTTATCCCAAATGGTTTGCGCCATTTCCACATCCCACTTCATCCCTCGTGGTCCTCCATGGAGTCGGGATTGGGACTGCCACATCCAGAATGGTCGCATTGTCTCAGAACTGGATGCCTGCCAACGCGTCGTCCCGCGCCCTCCCGCCCAACTGCCTAAGTTTCCTTGGCCGACCGCTAGGCACGTCACGGAAAACCACTTTACGCGTCGTCACGAGACTTGAGCGACTCTGATCGCTACTATTACTATTCGCCCTTGTTATTAACAAACGGTTCGCCAGGTGCTCTCTGCCCTTTCTTGTCTCTATCCTATTCGTTCGTTCTTTTCTAGTCGCTTATTTCTTTGGTTCAGACGTCGTTCTGTTTTCGCCTCACTGGATTAATGCGAAAACCTAGGGTTGAAAGAGCGCTTCGTGAGGCGCCGTTGGCTGTGTCGCCCGGTCGCGCGCAGCCAGCAACTTCACTGTCTTCCTATCCCCCCCGCGGCGCTATTTATATCCTTTACGTTTCGTGGGTGCTACTCTATCTATGACGCCGCCGACGATAGCCGTGGTAGATGTAGTAGCTGTTGTGTGAATGTTTACTGTTTTGTTTTCACACCCCTCCTTCCCCCAGTCTGCTTCCCAAGTTTACAAAAAACCCTTCCACTTCTTATCGGGGGAAAGGATTTCCTGGTGTGCTCCATACCAAATCTTGCGAATGACGAGTCGCCATTTTCCAAAAAAGATAGCGACAGAAGCATCTCCAGCCCTGGTTGCCCTATCCGGTTCTATTGGCAATTTCCATATCTTGTTAACTTCAGTAAGTATTTACCATAAATCCCTTTAATCCTCTCCGAGAAACCCGTCGCACTTTATTTTCGCAGATTTTCCCTCGTCCAGGGCACAGGATATCGGCTTCGGCTTCTCTTGCTTCTTGCTTCTTGCTTGTTGGGGAGGAGCTGCGGGCAAACTGACAAACTGCATACTCGTTCTGCTTCTTACATCGCCCGATCCTCGACGCAAGCGATCCCCGTGTTTTACGCTCTTTGTTTGTTCGTCTTTTCCCCGACCTTTTTATTTCATTTTTTGAGACGTTTTCATTTTTGAACTACTCATCGCGCATCCATTCACGGATTCACTTTTTTAAGGCGATCGCGGCGCTGTAGGGAAAGTCAAGAAGAGGAGGAAAGGTATCTCTGTATGATGATTACCCCAAACAATCCTCTCCCCCCCTCTGCGCCGAGGGAGCGCTCCCACCACTCACCATCTTGAACACGTTCTAGCTACTCTCATCCGCATCGCATCCCGCTGGCGATTCGTTAGCGAGCGAGTGGAGGAGGCATCTTGAAGGAAGGATATCGTATCGTGTCTGTGCCAATCAGTGCATGTTGCAACGGCGGGCGGCGATCCACGGCCGGGTCCACCATCTTTTTCGGGATAGAAACACACCCGTCGCTCTCTCTGCTCCTCTCTCCTCTACCCTCTATTTAGACAGTTGCGACTCGTAGTGAGCGCAAGCAGAAAGTAATATCAGAGGGATAGAAATCACATAATGTACCTACACACATACATCATGTATGGCACTTTATATGAGAGTATACATGTAGTACCGCAGTAGACAGAAAGGACAATCGAATGCTGTCCATGTAAAGTGCCCACCCTTGGCTTGTAACTTGCAAGCGTTGAAATGTGTAGGTAATCTCAGTTGGTTGGAAGGAAGGGAAGCGCGGTCCCCCCGTCGAACCTCTTCCTAATTCCGACTTTGGACTAGCCTGGCCACTTCAGTTCGCACGTTCCCTCAAGTTGAGCACAGAGCGCCGGAGAGTCTTGGGGGGGGAGGGTTTTCATGTATGGCATGTATCTACTGTATGTAGAGTATCTGGGAACTGGCTTTCATATCCCAAGCTCCGCTTTCTAGAGGTCTGCGTTGTTACAGTTAGTTGGACGTACGCTTGCTGCTTGCTTGCTTGCTTCCTGCGCTGCTGCTTCTGCTGCTGCTCCTGCTGCAACACACACACATACATACCCATCCATACACACACCACCATAACCATACCAGAGTACTACTCGCGCACCAGGTCCAGGACAAGCAGTAGGAAGGAGAGCGCACAGGAGCAGTATTAGCAGCTATCATAGACCAAGAAGTCGAAGAAAAGAGCGGACAGGAATTACAGTAGCACCAGTAGCACCTTCAGCGACCATAATTCCATAAACCACTAGCTAGACAAGGCTTCTTGACCAGTCAGCAGGCAGAACAAGCAGGTAGCAAGAGTAGGAGATAGCGAGAGCTAGAGAGCGAGCGAGCGAGAGACAGACACACCTACCTTTACGCCGCCCACCATTACAGGTATTGGGTACCACCAACCTTTGAAAGCTATACACTATCACGACGCCGACGAGGAGGACGAGCACGAACGACGACGAAACGGCAGAGAGCTTGGTTTTCCTCTTCGCTCACTCACTCGCTTTCGCATTATCACCATTTCCCACATCTCTGTCGGACTTGTCTCTGTTCCTAGCTTGTTCCGTTCCTCGCCCTTTCGTTTGACTTTCCGCCCACTTACCCCAACTGCCCTGCCCGCCCACCACACCTACACACCTACACACATACACACCTACACACCTACACACCTACACACCTACACACCTACACACCTACACACCTACACACCTACACACCTCCCATACCTCCCATACCTCCCATACCTCCCATACCTTACCCATTATTATCCTCTGCCAGTTCCCTAACCCAAGAGCAATTCCACGCTTGCTTGCGCCTACACCCAGCACAGCTTTGCTCCCTAGCACAACCACTACCCCCCCGACTCAATCCAAGAGCGAGCGACCTATTCATATCCATCATCATTATCATCCTATCCCCACCCAACCAGTAGTTCCGCTCTCCACACACCTCTCTCCCTCACCCCACACACCCACTCACTCGCTCCTACACACTCCCCACCCACACACACCCACTCCCTCCTCTCGCTCTACTACCAACACAACTCGGCCTTCGAACCCATCCTTCCCCTCCATCTCTGCGCCCTCCTTTACAACACCTCTCAAAGTTAAATCTTTCATCACTACAATCATCTCTAACACCTCTATCTCCTCATCAATACCCTAGTTCATCACTCTCCTCACTCCTCACCCTTGCTCGCATCTCACCACCCACCTGCTTCATTCCTCGCCATCGTGAGCGCAGTATCCTCTCTTACTGAGCACCCCCCCCCATCTCTCCTCTTGAGTTTGCTCTTGATTGCCTGAACCCTCAACCATCGCTTTCGCTGTCGCTGCTCTCACCCATACTCTTTGCGCTTCGAACGCTGGATTGAAAGAATCATCCCGCTTTGAGCGCTGAGCGCAGTCGTTGATCACAACGCATCTATCCAAGGTATGTTACAAACTGCTTTTATCTTTTGCCATCTTGTGTCTCTCTCATCATATCCCCGCTCGTTCCTGTCCCGCTTGGTTTCCTTGAACCCATCGCGTGGTTCCGAGAACTTCCTGTCGCTCCTGACCATTCATTTCCCCCCGCTGCCCCCAATGTAAATTTCTTGGTCGCCATCTCTTTATCCATCTCCTTTCGCTCCCCGCATCTCAGAATCCATCACACCGAGTTCTTATCCCTTAACTATCCATTTTTTGACTAACTGGCTATATTTGCCATCCTCAGCCATCCATATAGGAACACAAACGGGTTGGCGCATCACTCTATCGCCGTCGTATCATTCCTCCACACTCAGCCAAAATGAACATCAACACTCTCCTGTCAAACGAACCTGTCGTTCGAACATCCCGAACCTACAACAGCTTTGCACCGGAAGTCACTACTCCTTATCACAACAGTGCAGCCGTCATGACGCCTCCGAAGTCGTTGTCACCAACCTCTAGTTGCAAGAGTGTCCACTTTAGAATTTGCGGCGGGGTATCGGAGCCCAAAACACTACACATCTTCCCGCATGACACAACGGAATCGATTACAACGACGGTCAAGAACATGTTTGCACTCTCCACCCACAAAGACTCTGCTCTCAGTTTTCAAGACCCCGAAGGAAAGTATATGATTCTACAGCACGAGAATTTTGAGGATGGCATGACTGTCTTTGTCCGTGTTGAAGAAGCCCCCCACCGTTATTCATATGAAATCCATCCGTCGCTATTAAACCATCTAGAGCCTTCTGCGAGGAGCGTCTCCCCCAGCGCTGCCCGAGGAAGACGTAGCGCCAGTACTGGCGGTCGCTCAAAAGCCCTCAAACGTCCGGCTTCTAGTCACAATTGGGAGTATAAGCAGGAGCGCTTTGACTCTTATGCGCAAACTCATTTACCAGGTGTTTCCGTAGCGCCGTTGGGATTCATGACCTACGAGGAGGAACAGAGGAACAGACTTGAACCTCTTGCAAGTGCGGAAATCAGTCTTGATAATATCCTCGAAGGCTCAAGAAGGAAAAGGCCAAAGTTCTCGTCAGACGTGAATATTACCCGACTCTGCCTGTACTATCATATCAATCTTGCTAAGTGTTATATAGGAACTTCCGCTATACCCCCCTACAGCTTTACCCAGGAATGATGGTTCGAGTGCTTCGTCTGCTAGTCCCACACGTCCAGTTGGAGAAGTCACAACTCCATACACTCATCGAAACTATGGTTACCCCCATCCCACACCCCCATCTGCCTATGGTGGCTACCCTGGAAACAGCGCTCAAGTGCAGAACCCCTGGCCACAGTCGCGAACGGGCGGGAACGGCGCTTTCCCTACACCTGCGCCTACAATTGCATCGTGTATCTCAGATGAAGAAGTTGCTGTACAACTTATGCGACTTGGTGGCAATAGGATAGAGAATTGCTCCGTAACAACTTCAACACGAGAAGATAACTACGAAGAAGAGGAGGAAGAGGGATTCTCCTCGGGCGGAGGCGAATATGGTGACGATGGACGAAGCGACACCACTGAGCTACCCGACCCACTAAACAGTGGGTTGCCGAACAGCCCGATCTCATATTCAAGGGATAAGATGAAGTTCAAAAGTTTAGACGAGATCCTACCGAGTTTCGACACCACTGAACCGAGCGATAACGAAGACTTGCCATCTCCACCAATACCGTCTCCACACACACAACAGCTGTACTCATACAGGGATGACCCACCAAGGGTTGAATCACATCGACCCTATGCAATTGGTGCCGAGGAGGAAGAAGAATATGAAGACTTACTTGATGATGATGCTGATGAAACTTACATTGGCAAAGAGGAGGAGGAAGAAGATGATGATGCTGATTATGATGAAGATTTGGATGATGTTCCATTGATGAAGACTGTTCGTGGAAGAAAGCTATCATCCGCACCCTCAGCCCCTTCGGCGCCGCCAAGCAATGCGGGAATCAGTCTAAAGACCAAGCCTGCTCTACCTAAGGGCTTCGTTAGAGCAACTAAGCGCAAGAATCAACCCACATTGCAGACGAATGGACTCAAGAAACCTAGACCCCTGCCAGAGACACAGTGGCCTATCTCTCCTGCGTCTCCACCATCTAGCCGTAAGCCATCCGTTGCCTCTTCTTCTAATGGAAATGCCAAATCGCGCTCGAACTCAGGCAATGTCAACACAGTCACACTCACCCTCACTACACCCACCTCGCTATACGGTCAGCAGACAGCGACCCCAGTGGATGATCGACCACACCAGCACCACCTCGGACCCGACGAGCCGTCAATGAAGCCTCGATGCCAACGCTGTCGGAAATCCAAGAAGGGCTGTGACAGAGCACGACCGTGCCAAAGATGCAAGGACGCAGGAATTGGAGCTGATGGGTGTATCTCTGAGGATGAAGCAGGGACGAGGCGAGGGCGACAGGCAGCTGCCGCTGCGAGGAAAGCCGCTGCTGGAGGTGGAGTAGGGGTTTTGGGAAAACTGAAGAGTAAGACCAAGAAGAAGAAGATCTTGGTGGAGTGATTTAAGGTTTGCTGTTGTTTGCTGTGCGCTGTTCTTTGCTTTTATCTGAAGGTTGATCGCTATTAGTAGGCTCTCCTTCAATGCGTTTCGTGTATGGGGTTGAGTTACAATTGCGGGAGATTTCCCTCTCTTTTCGAGTCTCTTGGGGTTGTTTTTCTTTCTTTCTTTTTCTTTCTTCATTCCTCTGCTGGGCGCATATGGGTTGGCGGGGCGGGGGGGGGTTTTCATATCAAAAAGTTCTCCTATTTCAGTGGTTTCCTCTTTTTGTTTTCTTTATCAATCTCGGTCTTTTTTAATGCTTCTTTGTCCCTGTGTGGTTTTGAAATTGACGTGATTTTGTCTCTCCATATCTGTTTGTCTTTTTAATTGTGGGTGACATTGGGGGGTTTTTAGTCCATTTCTCTATATCTGTTATCGCGTCGGGTTCTTATATCCAACTGACACTTCTGATCAACACTTCTTCTCTAAAAGAAGGAGGACACGCCTCATTTGTTCTTTGATTGCGTGTGGTTTGGTAGGTATATCTTGTCACTTTCTTTCTTCTCTCTCTACAATTTCAGTTATATCTACGCTTTACTTTGGGGTTATGGTATGGTATGGTATGGACATTCTTTTCTCTCTCTTTTCTTTTGGAAGAACACACAAAAAAAAAAAACAGCCTTAAACTAGAAAAGAAAACAAAAAAAAAAGATCTGAATTCACACCTGAATTGATGATACTTTAGGGACTGATGAATGTTGTGTGGTTGCCTGCAGCCAGATGGGAATGTCATGTTGGTATGTATGATTTTGTCGGAGAAGCAGAAAAGAGCCACCACAGTTTAGCAGCAGCAGCAGCAGGAGGCAGAAAGAGAATTTTGCGGGGAAAAAAAGGGAATGCATTTATTTTTTTCTTTTGTTTTAGCTTTGGAAGGGAATTTCTTTTGTCATTTTTCTTTTTCTCTTTTTTGTGCATTTATTTTGGCGGGCTTTTTTTTTTTTTTAACTCTTTTTCCCTTTGTTCTGTTTATTTTATGTCTCTTTTTTTTTTATCTTTTTTTATTTTTTTATTTTAGCTAAAAGGGCTATTCAACACCTCTCTTCTCTGTTCTTCAGATTATTTTGTTGGGTCATGGATACAGGTTGGGACATAAAGGGTGGGAAACGACAGTTGAAAGTCAGAGGAGGATGAACGGAAGAGAAGAGATGCGAGGTTGTGGCCTTTTTTTTTTCATGTGAACATAGGACCAAGACTATTAAGAAACAAAATAAAAAAAAAGCTAAATAAATCAAAGAATCCACCACGACCACGAAAGCACTTGTACCCCGAGTTACTTGCAATTGCCTGCAGTGAATGTTCACTTCGTGAGCTCGAGTACGTGCGATTGAGTCGAGGGGAGCCTCAAACCCCAATCCCAACCTACTCCGAGCAAGGACGTGGGATAATCATCGTCCACAGAGCATGGATAGACCCTCGAGACATGGACCCCCAAAGGTTCTAGAATGCTGGGTTCGGGGTGAATTCAATGATACTGATACATCGTATGTATCACCATTACATGTTTAGCCCTAGTGCGGAGCTTAGTGTAGCTAGGTATATCCATGTGGCAGCAGGCACGCACGCACGCACAACACAAGAACAGATTTTTTTACCACCACCCTCGGGAGGAAGAGGGAAAAAATGCGGCTTCGGAATGGATGGGCGGCCAATAGGAAATACCATCTCTACGCACTGCTGTCGATGGTAGTCACAATGCAACTGATTGGCCGGGGACCTTTCATCGCTCGCGGCTGGCCATGGCGCAGATATGGTGCTCAACGAAAATAAAATGGAGAGGATCATTGTGGCGGATCCATAGCCCCTTTACTGTATCTGCCCACAGGTGTAACTGATTGCCTACATGCAGCGGAAGTGGAGGGGGGCGGGAGAGGAGGGGCGGGGGGTGGTGGCGGGGCGGAGCGGGTACGTGGGGGAGGGACTTTGACCCTTCTCCTCAGATCTCCTCGTCTGTTCATGATGCCAATGTTTCGTTCCTCTCCAAATTTCTCGCCGGGCGGGAGGGTGAGATTAGTACGCAGATCTGTTGGGGAGTCGGAGTGTCTGGGCTTAATCTTGGAAAAAGTGTTTAATTGCAGGCCCGGGCTGCATTGAAATGTTATACGGTTAATTGTTTCCCTTTCTGTCACTCCCCACCCCATCAATATCTCGTGAGACCTATGTTTTGGAATCCAAAAGTTTGTGAATTATGTATTTATGGTGAGTATAAATATGTCGTATCGCCTTTCTATTCCTCCTCCCAGAGAAAGACGCTATTGTGAGGATGACCCAGTTATGGCTGAAGGAGATATTCTCCGTATATATCGTTCCGTGGTTATTATGGCGGTTGTTGGGGTTATTCATAATTACATTTGACTATCGTATCAGTAATCCCCACGGCTTCTGCTTCCATACCGTCATATACAACCTCGCACATTTCTCATAGGTCGAGCCTGGATGGCTATCATCTAGTGGAGTCCAAAGTGTTTCAAACACGGAAGATCACTCGCTCTAGAAATCGCCGAAAGAGCCGCTTTTTTCTAGCCCTCTTGCACAAGATATCACTCGGTGAAGGTGGTCTCCCCTTTTTGTTGTAATATTCGGACGGAATTAAAGAGGATGGAGTGTTATGATTGACCCAGCTAGGACCGCAGTCCTGTGCTGTCTAGCCCCGTAAAATATCTTTGGTAATATCCTTTGAAGCTCTGCGCGCACGAGTGCTAGCGTCATAGACTTGGAGGGTATTCCAAACTCCTTTTACTGGTTGTCGTTGTTGTATTTCTCTGCTCTACATATGATTTGATGCGCCCCAAACTGTTTCAAATCTGATGAGCGTTCGCCGAGGAATCGTGATCTAATTCTATTTGGAATCTAATAAGAACCATCAGCACAGCGCGCGCCCTTATTATCGAGTTTCATGGTACCCCTATTGCTTCCCCTCGAAGTGAAGTTTCACATCCCTCTATGGATGGCAATGACTAGAGTAGCCCAAAACTATTAAGTAAGATTTGCGCACGCTGCGCAGCGGGGCTCCAATAGGAAGGCTCAATTTTCGTAATGATGTCATAGAGATCAGGTGTGTGGATTTCATGAGGATCAATGCTGCACAATGTGTTGTGTATCTGACTAAAGTGTTTGCCGTCGGGCGTGGTGCGGGAGGTTGTTTAAGGGCCGATTGCTGTCGGCCCCTAGAGTGCCTTTATACTTGCTCGGGAGCCACCGAGAATCTGAGGAACTGCGACACTACACCATGAGAAAATCCCCTGTTGTGTGGGTGTTCACCATAGTCTTGCTCGTTCATTTGAATTTCGGGTAAGTTGTTGCTGGGCATGCCGAGTCGTAAGAACCTACGCCTTTTGGAGAAATACTAGCCTTAAAATTATAACAAGACCTGTTGGTGTTTGAATATATCCTGGAAATCCTGTGCTGTATCCTTTCTTACCTTAGGGCATGGCACATGATTTACTATCGATAGCCGCCTCGGTATTTAAGCTCTCTAGTTTTGATATTTAACTCATTACCGGTAAACCCCAAGTGCTAAACTATCTTTCTTTTGATCTCCTCAGGTATCTGCCCTGGCATACTTCGGGGAGCGTCCCTTGAATCTTCACGAGTTCGAGGTTAAGTTATCTATAATGATAGCTCGAGGATAGCAGGCCTCAATTAAGAGTCTGTCTTATCAACTAAATGAGATCGCGCTTTTGTAATAGGGTTGCCGATATCATAAAATCTGATTTGACCGACTTGAGTGATTCCTATTCGTAATCACGCAATGCCCAGGGCAACGTCTGTTTGCGCGCGTCATCCACAATGCCATATGGGGATCAGGGAGAGATAAAGGGCTGTATATACCACCAACACCCCGTCCTGCTTAATTCCCAACATCAGTTGGAAGTCGCCGCACCTACCCAAGGTTCATCTGATGTTTGTCTTATCGATAGCGCCTGGTCCGTGCGTGCATGCGTCCAAAATTGCGTCATGCGGCTCCAAAAAGTTTAACCGAGATTACTGGGAACGGGCTTGGCTTCGATGATGGTGGTGGGCCGGGAAGGCTAAAAGGTTAAACTTTATTTTTTTTTTTTCCCACCCCCTCTGCGGGAGAGGTGCGGTTGACGGCAGCGTGTGTGTGCTTTTCTGGGTGTCTCAGGGTTGAGTTGGTGTGGTCGGCGGTGGCGACGGAATGAAGATTCTACTAAGCTCAGTACCTTTGAGTACACGCCGGTGCAGTGACTGTGCTGCTCATCCTTGCTAGCATCCCGAGAAAAGAAGAAACGTTATCGCCTTGTTTTGCGCCGAAACATACAGGATGTTGCAGAGTTGATAGGCTCTGTGGAACACGTGTCTGTCATACCGTGCTTTGAATGGAGGCGGATAAATGTGGGATGTCTTAGTGTAGCACTAATCTTCAACCAAAGCTCGAAACGTGAATAAGGATTCAAGGTGCCCTCTATTATGCAGAGTAACCTAGATTTTGTCAGTTATTTAAAAAGATCTTATGTGATTATGGAAAGCTCGTGTTTAGATCACTGCTGAGGGTGTAGTGAAGGGGAAGGCTGGGACCACGAGAAAGGGGAGGAAGAAAGTGGGAGGAAGGAAGGAAAAGAAGAGGAACGTCTACGTGCTAGTAGAGGGATGAAAAAGCAATATTCTATTGACGTCATTTTATAATCTGCAATCGCTTACATACAGGTAGAGCTTGTTGCCGGTACTATGGAATGGGCGACTAACGCAGAACATGTTGGCTATATATAGTCACGATAACAAGAAAACGTGTGAAAACCACGTATAGTACAGTACCCAGTGCTATTAAAAGCACTGTCTATGGGAACGGACGCCATGATCTTTTCTGTTACTGAACCACAGGAGAAACCTTTCACCGCAAATCATATTTGAATAAGAATGAATTTCAACACCTCTCTATCCCCGAAACTCCCATACACATGCGCATGCCCCCTGTGTTAGGTCTACCTGCTAAGCAATCTATAACTTAGAAAGAAAACAAACCCAACGCTATCTATAAAGTCATTAAAGAAATAAAGAAATAAAAAATAAAAAACATCTTTGCATCGCTCATAATTCATCAACCAATGTTCAACTCATGACATCCAGAAAGGCAAATCAAAACCGATGGGAGTACCTGAGGACCAATAGCTATCTAAAGAGTCTAGTCCCCTCTCTCATTCACCCACATTCCTCCGGGTTCCGACCCAATCCCCCAATCCCCCCTCCACACACCCTTTCTTGCCTCTCTCGTTCTACCGAGCAGCATAACGATGCAGAGCACTAACTGACTTCCTCTCCTAAAAGCTCCACTCATAGATGTTGACATGTCCGGATGCCCCATACTGACACCGACACATCCGTATGCAGAGATAACTTCAAACGTAATATTAAAGATCGAGTACGACACGGGGTCCGCGTCAAAATGTGGCGTTTCGATAGTGGCAATAACCCAGATAATAAAAAACAGCATCCTATCAATATCAGCTGACTGTACTCGAGAATAGATAAAAGGAGAGGTACCAAAAATCATCAACAGTAAAGGTTCTCCTCATCTGGCGTCTGAGAAACTGTCTTTTCGACTGTTGGTGATACCTGGGCCTAACCTTCCTTGCTGATTCTGGGTCGGGGATGTAGTCGCCTTCATAGCTGCTGGCTACGCAAATAGGAAACGAGGAAATATACATCCTAGAAACATGAGTTTCCTTTTATCGTCGTCGGAATTTCAAGACAGATTGGAAAGACTTACATAACCAAATAGGTGATTTGAACACACATCCTCAAATATGGGATGCCCACAACTCCAAACCCACCGCTTCGCACAGCGAGGGCCTGGAAAAGACCGTCAACCACTCGAGCCGGGGCCGAGAAATCTTTAAACGCTGGGTTTGTAACAGAGGATATTCCAAAAATCGCCTGCACAACCTTATTAGAACATGCAACGAAGAGGAAAGAATCGGTTGGCTCAAACAAACTCACCCAGTCAATGCCATTGAAGATAATGATGGTTCCTCCCAACCAAGCCAGCTGACTACCACTAAACAAATATGGGCAGAGCATCCTCGCCTTCTCACTTGCCAGGATCTCCAGTCCATCCCTCATCCCTTCCCACTTATCCGTCTTTGGAACCACTCTTTCCAGCACCCTGAGTATCCCGCGTAGCAAGATAGGGAAGATGGTATTACCTAACAGGATCAGGGCGGTCATCACCAACAAGACGAAATATGACCGCTGGAAGGGCGTCATATTGCTGTCGATAAGACTCATACCCGAGTTATTGAATGCAGAAATACTCAGAAATGCCCCCGCCCACCAGGCGTTGACGTGGTTCTCTGCTGGCACCGACGGGTGACGGGAGGATATGTACCAACCTAGGGCGACCGCCCCCAATAGCTGGACTATGATTATGTAGAGTGGAACAATCCAGGAAAGAATAACAAAGGCTTGGTGTCTTACACCAAGCTCTTTAATATATTCGTTTCTTTCCTGGTGTTCTAGGACTGTGCTGGCAAGTGATGCCTGGTCGTTGGGTTTAACTGGGCCTTCTGGGTTTGGATTCGCAACGACGGCGGTGTCATCGTTGGCCTCCTCAACGACAATATTTGGGGGCAACGAGTGGGGTATCCGAGGTTTACTTCGCTTTTTATATTTGAACTGGAGCGTAATAACAAGCCCGGCAAATACAAACATGTGCGAACCCATGAGGATATCTAGCCAAAGTATAGCCTGCTGGAACGAGTTGAGGGACGACAAATTAACCTACAAACACTGTCAGAACCTGGGTCATGAAGATGGATAAACAGGCAAATCTACTGTATTAAGTCCAGCTCCGGTCCCTGCGCTGATGCACAGGAACAGTGCGTTGAGGTACCCCACGTTTTCCTCGTTCCTCAAACCGGCAATCAGGAATGCTAGGGATGAGACCAAATACAGCACGAAATAGTAAACATACTGCCAGTGTATACATCTGATAGGAGTGTACTTAAATCGGATGATCACGTAATGGCAAAAGCCTCCCTTTCTGAGTTCTACTTATTGGAATAGAATATCAGTACTAAACTTTGAAGTTGCCATAACCGACCGATAGTAGGGGTGTGGCTTAGACTGTGACGTCTGGACGCTATCTGCGACCGACATAAATCCTATTCTGTCAAGGCACCAACGGCCGCGCATATGGAATTTCATTTGTGATCAGGAAGCAACAGGAAATTAAACACTTACCCATCTCTTTTTATTTTCTCTTCCCTTCGCGGAAGGTATGGGCGAAGCGTAATCGGTCTCGGAGATTTGTTTTATCAAGTGGCAGTGTCTAGGACCCAAAAGCTGTGTGTTTAAAAATTCAAGTTGGGAGGGAGCGCAAAAAATTTAAGTAGGATCCCTTACTCCCCTTTCTTCACTACCGCGCCGAATGCGGTAAGGCGTCTGCCATGATGACAATGATCTGCGTGCCTACCCGAGCGGGCCGACGTTTCTTGGCAAGATCGAACACTCAGCATCCGATGAGAAAATACTTGGCGAGAGAAATTTTCCGAGAGGCTTAGTTGAACCCGAGGCAACGGTGAGGTGGGATTTGATAGGCTTTAATGGACTTGCTCTGCCATAGCACAGCCTGCCGAACAAGGCCAGGAATATTTACGCAGAGAGACAGGAAAATCACCCCTGACGCCTATCGTTTGTGAAGATCCTCCCCCCCCCACCCCCGGCAATTTGAGCAGTGGTAGACAGTGTCTAATCAGTGGACCTCTAAATAGTGACGATATCCACCAGGGTTAGGTTTATCCTTTGCGGGAGGGTCGCTGCCAGTGGGGAGTTGGGAGGCGCGAGAGCACTCGAAAACAAGCCCAACCCTGGCGTATCTCGTCACAGGTTTAAGAGGTCCGGAACTATACCAAGTACATATAGTTGAATGAAGTCAGTATATGAGTTTTGTTGTGAAGTACACACTACATGTACTGTTGGCGCTCGCAAACGGGCTACAAGTCCAAACCACATCATGTAGGTCATTTCAAGCCACTACAGTATGGCGTAATGAGTGCATGTATCGTCAGCGATATCGACAAAATATGCCCTATAGTAGTGTGAATCGCAGTTGAAATAAATCAATAAAAACATTTTTCCATATTCTTTAGCTAGCGGCGGCCAGATAGTCTGCATTCTGTGATCCGTAACATTTTTTCTAACCCGTTATAGTAGAATGTATGCCTCCTTTGAAACGTTGCTGCGGAAACACATGTACACTCGATACGGACTTCGTACCTAGTAAAAAGTAAAATACTTCTATCACGATACAGTGCTTGTGTAATAAATGGATTAGCTAGGCCGATTGAAGTCAATACTTTGCATTCAACTCTGTATCAGCATGTTACCTATTCGAACACCGCATCGCTTTGTTGCTGCAGAAATACAGCTAGACGTGAGGAGTTGATTATATACGCATCAAGAATCGATGTGATCTAGTTGGATCGATATATCCTTATTCTAGTTGCCTGCATGGGATCTGTATAAGAGTCCGCTAAAGAGTGAAATGCTGCGCCTTTATATCACAAGAGTAACATATATTGAAAGGTTCGAAAACATCATTAATTGGTACCTCAGCGCCTTAGTATAGGCAGATTAAGGTACCGGTTTGAGGTAAACAAGAAGTTGAAAGAACCCATCAAAATATGGAACGATAATAATAGGACCAAACTAGATGCAGAATCAACAACCCAGTAAGTATTATCTAGAGTAAATACTCTGCAATCGATTTCTAACCTCGAATAAGGCAATAAGGTCGTAAAAATATTGTTGTGATTGACATGCGCATCAGGGCATCATACACCTTTACTTGTGATACTAGTTGAAGGGATTCGATTCATCAAGATTCGAAGGGGAAATATCAAAGAGAGTCATATTATTGTGCCTGTAAAGCAAGCAACAACCAGAAAGTATTTGCCTGGGAAAATAATCGAGCTACACACCTTGGACGGCTATCTACCGTTGAAATCGCGATAGCCAGTCTAATGACATCTTATGTACTCATAAGGTCGCCTTCCAAACGCTCATCATCCAATTTCATTTAGCTTGATAACTTCTAATGACGAGGCCCATCAAAACGCCCAACGAAATTCTCCAGATCTCAGTCTTTAGATAAAATCCTAATATGGTAGGATAAAAAGAAGGAGACCTGAAATCGAAATGTGTAGATTTGTATAGGGCGGCACATACATAGATGGATGTATATGTGTGTTCATAGTATTTTATCCTATATTTTAAATGGGACCTGGGCATTGGTATAAATACCCCCATAAACCACGGCCACCTTCTCTTCTTCCCTCTTACCACTACCATCAACAAACCCTCATACCCATCCTCACTGCTCATCAGCAAGAACCATCAATTCAAACCATCACGCTCATTTACTTTCCTCCAGTCTGCTCATCAGCATTCATCTACGCTCCTTTCCTCTGCTCATCGACAATCATCTAAGTTACTTTCTCCTGCCCATCAGCATCAACTCAAGAAACATGAACATCATCAAACGCTTCTCTATCATCCTCCTCCTCGTCCTCCTCTCCCTCACTATCAATGTCAGAGCCTATAAGCAGTTCAACGAGCCCATTGGAAACCGCATGATCTGCGAGTCCAGTAATGGCTCTCCTCGTACCAGCGGCATTACCAGAATCGCCCAATTGCTCATGGACGGCACCAAGAGTGCAATGGTGGTCTCTACAGGGCTAGGGGCGCTCGCTGCTCAGTTTGCTACACCGAGGGACGGATAAAGGTTTCTATCTGTGCAAAGCCACCTTAGGGTGGGGATGCGTTCAGCTCCGATAAGCTTGGTATGATGCTGTTCAGCATTGCTAAGAACTGTGCACACGATTTCATGGCATCAAGAAGTCGGGAGGGCAGTTTACCCCAAACATGTACGACATTGGAGCGTTTATCGGCCAAGTTCATTTCTGAGTATGCACATGTAAGCACGCATATGCCCTGTCGTCATAAATGAATACTTCTCTTTAACTCTTTCTTTCTTTCTTGGAATTCTTCAGGCCAACTTGTCAATGAGATAAACAAATACAAAATACAAGCCTATTTATCCGTCCGAGTGATGTTCTGTGATGTAAACCTGCTCGATCAATTTCACGATGTTGAAAACCTTCTCGTAACCATTAATTCGATTAATTTATTTTCCTACTCATAGATACATAGCCATTTCCTAGATAACGTCCGTAGCCTACGTATGGTTTGTTTATAGCTGCGTTGTCAGGTAGGCTCGATTTCATCCCCTGCGCATGCCAGTTGCTATATTTACAATCTTGAGCAAGCCGCTAGTGGGAGATGACCAAAAGATCACATCTATTGTCTATGTAGTTTCTACACACATGCGCACACACGCATGGATCATGGCCAAGTTATATAATTTCTAAGACTTCTTGGCTTTACTTTGATGTTATAATCTCGAGCCTTAGCAAGACCAAGAGCTCACAAGACTGAGATACATCAAGACCACCATAGTGTTATCCCATGTAAAGCAGTATGGTCTACGAGGCCGAAGTGTTCCGTGCCTCCCCTCGAGGTACCCCCAAGGCAACTGCAGTGCAGGGTAAATTCTACTAGAGATCGATGAATTTCTATACTCCATCTTCCTTGGTTCAGTGATTTTCAGATTCGTGGTTGCAACCGAGAGGGTCGGAATCCAGCGGAGTCAGAGCTTGGTTTTCTATTTAGCCTTAATTAGGATAATTGATATTTATCTCTCCTTCAATATTTGCGCTTTAGCAAAATTTAGATTCCTGTTTTCATAACTGTTGACATTCAGGTCAAAACATTGAGAAGCACCGAGACAACTCGAGGCATATATATATCTTATCCAACTTTGGTTGAGCCCACCAAGAACTAGCATTGAGTAGAATTGGAGCATTGTTAGTCATTGGCTGGAGACGACGAATGAATCGGAATGATATAGTGATCTTTCTACACCTAGATCTATAGATCCTTCTCCCCCACGAAATACCAGGGAAATAATCCCTGAAAACGCTGTAGCATGCATGTTTAATGTCCAAGGGGAAGATATGGACCATAATCTTGTCACTTAAAACTACTAAGGGCCCGTTTGGGGGCGGTCAAAAACGGAGTTATTGGGGCTTGAAACTCCGTTCTGCTGAAAACTCCGTTCTGAGAAAACTGGTTCTGTTTGGCGGCCCATTTTGCGAGTCTAGAAAGCAATGTTAACCCTATGAAAACGGAGTTTTTAAAAAAGTGGCTCCGACTTACTTTTTCTTATCACAACTGTAACATCTTTTGCCATCACCCAATTTTACCTCGTTGAACCGTCAACACCACAGTCTCCCAAACAGTACACATCATGCTTAAAACTCCGTTTTAAAATTTCTTCGTTTCCTCCCCACTAACGGAGGCCTAAGCAAAACGGCGTTTTCTACAGTCCCGGCCCCCAAACGGGCCCTTAGATTTGTATCTCGACTCAAAATTGACTAACTACAGCACAAGTACAGAGAGCCCTCGAATACCAATAAATATGACATACCAGACATGTATCAACAACTTTCACATAAACCCCCCAGGGCTCCTATGCCAGAGGCCACAATTTGACCAAACCTAATGAAATCAGGTGTCGAGTGATACCTGGTGATTAAGTCGCACCAGATCCTATTCCATATCACCTGACCTAATTCTAGAGCTTCTAGTTGCTAGAAATATATATCCTATTAAGTTCCCAAATGCCAGTAAGATGAAATCTTATAAATCGTACCAAGGCTATTTATAACTAGACCCCACATCGAACGCTTTGATACATCATATGTTGAGGAGTAGTAGTACACTTAATGTGCATACAATTAATGAATTAAACAAAAAGAAAAAACGCTTAACGTGCAAGGCCAAGATCTTCGGACCTCTTTCCTCTCGAGGCGCAGTCCGTGATTGTCAAACATGAGAAACATCTTCACGAAACTAGTATATTTCGACATATCTATTCCAGCGCTTATAATTAGGCGAGCCTTGAAAGCTTGATGTTTCACGGTGTTGTAGAACTATAGCCCCGCCCTTCGTTTTTCCGCGAATGATTTTGGTAGAACTGCAATATCCAGCCCTCGAATGGGCAGTAAATGTTGGATCCAGCAAATAATTTCGAGTTACAGTACTTTTTACAGGGTCCGTAGGAGTGTATCTTTACATTTATCGAGTTGCTATGACAAATCGCGAATGTCAATATCTCTCGATCTCACAGGCCAGGTCAAGTCATTATGTCTTCAATTGGAGAACGCCAATATATATATCGAATGGCATTTTTCCACTTTGAAAGAAAATAGTTTTGCCAGGTAGCTAGCGGCGCTCTAAAGGCACTTTATTCCAGCGAATTAAACATTATGCGCAGCAGATACCATTTGAGTTGATCGTTTCATGATATGGACGGCGGGAATATTAATTCTTCTGTGATTGGTGGATAGTATTATGAAGCGCCACTGATAGTAATTTCATGATTACTTCAAAACCACCAGCTACGTCGCTACGTGTGCTGGTAATATACAACTTACTGATCATGAGATATCTGCTCCAGTCCACCGTTAGCGCGCCCTTATGAACTGTTCAACAAAGCTCAGACAACTACAAACGCAAAGTCACGTCTAAAGTTACTTCAACTCAACAAAACATAAGACGTACCCCTGGATTAACAGTGACTGTTCGCGATCGCTCGTGAGCTTATATGATAGGGCAGCCCAAACGTTTGACATCAGCATGTGCAGATATTGCATTAATCTGGCATGTGTACTTATGTATATATAGCAACTTGATCTTGACTTGTCGCATCGGTTCTAATTTTGCGGCTGAGAGGTAGTAAATTTGATTCTATGATCTGGTACCTATTCAAATATTAGTCCTTCGCTGGCGCGCCAGTTGTTGACGATCCGGTCTACTTTCACATGCCCGACCAGCTAGCTGGAACCTGTCTGACGCTGAAACAGATATGTATTATCCACCCCTTCTTGGTGTGCCACGGTGACTTTTCGCGCACTTTCATGTGGACAGCAATCAGCGGTCCACGAGCAAGCTCAAGCTAGGGGGAAAAGAAAGGTACGAGCAGATCATCGAAGACATCTCAGCCTCAAAGCAGCCACTCTATGCATGATATCAACACGCGCATTGCAGTCAAGATAAGCTCCGTCGACCCTTACTTCAGACATTACCATCCCCATAATATCGTCGAAGTAGGTTTTGCGCATGCCACCCAGCTGAGGCAGAACTGTCCGGACGTACGCAAACCGCTAGAGTAACCAGAGTACCATACAGTCGAAAACCCGCCCCGGCGCGCTGGGCTCATGAGGCTCTTGTCCTCCTACGAATTTACATAACTTAGGGCGCACCCCCCACACGTAATGATATCGGGGCGGACAAGAATACTCTATTGTGCATGCTGCTTCTGCGGCCCACGACAAGGATTCGCCGGCCGGGCATGCTGAAAATGCGCTAGAGACGCATACTGCATATGATATGTAGAGTACGGATATGGCCTTGTCTACCGGTGCATCGAGGATGTGTCTTTCGCAGTAAAGTCTAGGCTTCCCAACTATTATCCCATAAACCGTCGAGACAATGCTGACACCTCTTTCACAAGGCCAAGACGTGGCTAGAGCCAATAGTTTCTGATAGTTTTGTTGATCCCTTACTCGATTTTGCTATGAGGGGTGTCAGCGTTGACGGTTTATGGGATACCCAATTTCAACTCATCTCGAAAATACCTATCGTATGTGAATGTGGGGTAAGCCCTGCGAGTGATATGTGGTGAATGAACCATCCAAATCTCGTCTCTCCCGCCGCGTGTCAGCATTTGAATCGGTCTACCAATAAGCACCCTTCTTCCTACCGGAAATTCACTATGATATCATTTTATTGTCACAGCCTATTATATCGCCACGAACGAGCGGGGTGGCCCAGCTGAACCTTAAATGACCGACCAGCCAGTCCCATTGCCCAGCTCAACCACGCATCCGGAGCAATAGCCATCCCCGGATCGAGCTGCATCCCGGGCGGGGAACTCCTCGACATATTACTACGGTGCCAAAGAAAAAATGCGGACATGCCCGGCACTGTGGCGGTACGTCTGGCGCCCGCATAGATGCGGCATCCCGGCCAAGATTCTCGCCCGTAACACCATCGCAACCTCACGGGGTTTTGTTAAACATGATATATTGTATGCCGGGGGCGATTCCGCACAGCTCCTGGTACTGCGCCGTGCATTCGAACCCCACGGCGATATGTATCCTGGTATTTGAGGATCCGCCAGTGCTTTTCGTGCTATCCCGAGGTACATACGTGCTCGGTCGGGCAACTCAAGCTAGAAGCCAATGGTGAATTTAAAGTTACGATTGTCTGGTATGGTTTAGGCCAATCCTCCCGGTTTCAAGTCCAGATGTTTAAAGCCCCGGCGTTCGGAGGGTCTAAAGACCGGGCAGGGCCGGGTCTGTTCCTGGTACTCTTTAAAGTTGAACGAGGTCACGCCAGAAAGACCCGACAGGTCCAGCGATGTAGTCTAGTACCGCCCGCCCAGGCTGTTCTATTAGGACACCCTACGAAATATCTCTGGGCCGGTATCTGATATTCTTATCTGGTCGATGTGTGGCCACCGCATATATATAGACGTGCTTTAAATTTGCTAAATATGTATCTTCTTATAGTGTGAATTCCACTGTACTCCTTGCAGAAAGAGTGGGGGCAATTTTGTGATCGATCATCAGCCTAAGTTCTAGTCCTCTCAGGGTCA